AATCTGGAGAGTCTTAGAGCAGGCTGACATCACATCTGGGTTTCCCCCGGAAGTGATGTAACACCACTGGCCAATGGCCCCCATGCCCCAACCCTCCCAGACTCCTACTGGGAGCCACTGTAGATGGAAGAAGGCTGGAGTGATATGGTGCCTGTGACTCACTCCAGTCAACACTCTGACTGCAGCATTCTGTACAAACCGTAGCTTTTGGACAGTCTTCAAGAGCAGCCCCATTAAAGTGCATTGCAGTAATCTAATGTCGCTATTACTAGGGCATGCACCACAGTGGCCAGGTATTTCCTGCCTAGGAACAGCTGCAGGTGGCTTACCAGCCAAAGCTGTTAAAAGGCACCCTGGCCACCTGTTTATCCAAACAGATGCCGGGATCATTGACTGCAATGAGAAAGAGATTGTACTCTTCAGGGGAACGTGTGCTCATGTAGCCATGCCATAAGAACCAATCCATAAAGACCAGACTTTATACTGCATTTTGGTTGGGCTGTATTTTCACAAGTGCTACTAAGCAGTGTTCCCTCTAAGCTGAGTTAGTGTGGGCTAGCTCACAATTTTTTAGCCTCCGGCCCACACATTTTTGTCTTAGCCCAGGAAGGATGACTCCAGAGCAAACTAATTTATGTAGCAGCCAAATCGCTCACTCACAACTTTAATGCCAGTAGCTCACAAAGTAGAATTTTTGCTCACAAGACTCCACAGCTTAGAGGGAACATTGCGTACTAAGTAGACTTTTTATCTGCCTTTTGTGTTTCTTCTGAATCTTGTTTGTTTGTGGAGAAAAGACATTTCAGGCCAGTCCTTAAGAGGCTGAGAATTACTCCCACACAGTGCTGGACCATGGTTAAGAAAAACGAAACAGGGTTAACCCAGTCCAGAACACATGTCCACGGATATCATCCAGCTTAATCAACTCTGGCTAAACTTTATCCAATCTGTATTTTAAGTCTAAACATTGTTCCCCCCCCCCATGTGAAGTAGAGGTTTAAGGGACCCGTTCTTGGAGCTGTGGGACCTCTTGACCCTTGGGGCGCCTCTCTGGACCTCAGGGACTGTCTCTGTCCTTCGTGGGCACGGACCCTCTTGGTCACCACTGACAGATCCTGACTGTTGCTCTGTGCCTGTCAACTGAGTCCACAGGCATTTCCCCATTATGTCGTCGCCCCCTAGAATACCCTCTAGGGCAAGGTCGGGGCTGGTAGTTCCCGGCCTACCCCCAGACACATAGTTAACATAAACCATGGTTTCGCTGTGGTATCTGTAGAGAGTCTGGCTCTTCCCCAAGTGTCCTGCCAACACGCGCGAGTGTATGTGCTTGTATAACATTGCCCTTATGTAACAAACAGTGCTCTTGCACACATAACCTATCATTAAAACAGCAAGAATGAATGACGATTATCATTAGAGACCGAACATGCAAATGAGTTTTCTTACCGAATGTTTATTGAATCAGAAAGAAATCAAAATATACACTCATCTAGAGTTCAGATGCGAGCTTTGAATTATAGCATTAGTCATTCTCCCTCCCTGTTACAATAATGCAGATTTCTGGATTTCCTATCAACGTTATCAGACTTGCACGTCACAGGATCTTCATGAAGCTGGTACAATCGTGTCCAGTTTTAGGATTTGGTAGATTTTTTTTTTTTTTAAAAAAAGAAAGTAGCTTTAATCACAGACATACATTAAGAACGCTGCCTGTGAAACTGTTCCCTCTCCTCAAGATAGAAAAAAAAATTAGTAACACAAAAGTAGATACACCCTCTGAATTAGTAAGAGAAAGGAGATCAGGTCTGCCCCCTTGTGGTGCTTCCTTGTTAATACTTTAATTACTCCCTCTGCAAGAAGTTAATTTCTCCTGTTTGACTACATCAAGGAAGAAACAGATGAGAATGAATTATAAACTCTGTACACTTCAGGTTTTTAAATAATATTAATAGCTTGAGAGCAAAACTGAAGCATATCTTAAAAGATGACGATTCTACATTTATGATCCTTTTAAACGACCCACTTAAAAAAAATATCATTTCACCATATAGTTTATCAGAAGGGGATTTTGATGGCTTCTTTAAATCTCTGCAGTTGTTCTTGTCTTCCTTCCATATCCAGACTGTATCCTTGGAGAGGTCTTAAAACTTGTTAGTTTAATGCCACATTGGTCCTGGGAAGCTATAACTTATGTTTCCCCGGCCCCTTGGTTACGTGCTTCACCTGGCTTCTTAAATGGTTAAGGGTTAGCAGAAAATGAGATGTTGAAATCATCAGGCTGGACCCCGCAGAAGATTTCCACCAAAGAAGGGATTACTTTTTACTGAACCCCTCCCACTGCAAACCTCTGAGTCTTCCCTCGAAGATGTTCCTGGGCATTTTTTGGAGGGGGTTATTTTTCTGTATTTTTCATGTGTGCATGTGCGCGCGCGTGTGTGCGTGCATGTGAGTGTGTGTGTGCACCTGGAAGTCATGGCGACCTCCAGTGACTGACCTCTACTGGGGGCCTGGAGGATATTCAGAGGGGTGGCTGAATAAAGCCTGCCCTGGTATTCCAAGGAGGTCTCCCAATTCAAGTTGGCCCTGCTTAGCTTCTGAGATCTGATGAGATCGGGCTTGCCTGGACTATCCAGGTCAGGGCTTCCCTGGGCATTCTGAGCAGGGAAAGGCATGGATGTCCCACTCTATAGATGGAAATCTGGTCCACCTGTGGAAATCCCTGGTGGATCCACGCCATGGTTTGGACTGAGTTTGCAAGCTATTGCTTATGTTGGCCATGGAAAAGCAATGTGTCTGCATGGAGCAAGCCACAGATTCTATATCTTTTCACTTTCCGGCTCTCACTGGTGTTTCCCAGTGTGTGTCCTTCATGTGGGGGGTTAAGGCGACCATATCCATGGCTAACTGTTACATCTGCACCTATGCAAGAAGACCATTTTCTTCTCAAAGGAGGCTTGCTGGACTATTGTCCCAGAACTCTCCCTAAGACAAAGGGCTTTTCTCTGTTCTCATTTTTCTTGCTTGTGTGTTCCCGTTGCTTCGGGGTCCCCCCCCCCTGTTCTGCATGTGTTTCGCTCCTTCTGCTGTTGGATTCAATATTATATTGCTTTACGGCTGGCATAAAAACCTGCAGTTTAAATCTATATGCTGGACATGAAGGAATGTAATATTGAATCAACCACTAGAGGGAGCAAAACACTTGATGACCAGACTCCCCTCAAGCAACAGGAACTCACAAGGGAGGACAATGAGAATGCGGAAAAGTCCAAAATGGTCACTCCTCGACCAGCCACAGAAGATAAAACAGGCTTAAGTGCTATAGACCAAGTGCATGCTTCACAAACAAAATCCCTTGGCTCTTTAGTTAACAGGATCTTAGTTAACAAGGCAGGAAAGACCTTTGCCCGGGACATTGGAGAGCTCCTGCGCTAAGAGAAGAGGGTCCTGGGTTACATGGATCAGGGGCCTGATATGGTATAAAGCAGTTTTGTGTGGTCAGTGGTAGAAAAAACTGAATCTTTAGTCCACCGTTTCGCTGACCATCGCAGATGTGTCATGCCTTGAACCCTCTTTCCTAGATTCATTTCCACCTCTCAGTCTATGCTGTCTTCTTGCCTACAGCAAAGAAGGAATCTGTGCCTCTTAATTGCTCCTTGAAGCACCACTGCATGCTCATAGCTATCCTAAACCTCTGAATGAGGATCGCCAGCTCCTGGTTGGGAAATCCCTGGACATTTTGGGGGTGGGGGGTGGGGTCAGGGTTGGAAGACAGGAGGGAGCTCAGTGAGGATGTGATGCCATAGAGTCCACCCTTTCAACTAGGTTTGCCATCTTTTTCTTTTCCGAGGGGGGGGGGGGGATTTGGGAGGCGTTTCAGGAGTGGGCAGGGACATCTCCAATGTGCTGAGACCACGCAGAAGTGACATCATCACGTCAGTGACATCGGGGGGGGGGGGACGCTCTGGTTTTTAGGCAAAACCCTACGGTAAAATCGGGGTCAAACCCTAGAATTCTGTCCCAGAACCAGAGCATCGCCACGTGACATTTTCAATGTGATGACGTCACTTCTGCGTGATGTCAGCATGTCGGGGATGACACAGTTTGGGAGTGGGGTTCCCCCCCACCAAAACTGGGGGATCCTCCGCCTGGACCTGGGGAATGGCAGCCCTACTTTGAACTGATCTCTGTAGTCTGGAGCTCTGCTGTAATTCCGGGAGAACTGCAGTCTCAACCCGGATCATGAATTAAAGGGATGCAATGCATTGCAAGGGTTATTTGTAAGTAGGAGGACAGTGGACTTTTCCTAATTCAACGGCATGTTTGTATGAGAATTTAAGGGGTGGTGGAGAAAGATAAGACACCGCTTGGCCCCACAAGTGGTGGAGACATAACTTGTATCGTATATACTTTACCAGGTAATGCACAGATTATGAATGGGCAGATTGGGTGTACATTTAATCCACCAGCCAAACCTCAGAACTCCACAAACCTCAATCTGGATCTGAGCGGAACCAGTCACAGGACTTCTAACGTGGGCTTCCAAGTGGCATGAGAGGGGGGGGATTTTATTTATTTCTTTTATTTGGCTTCTAATTCCCGCCCTCCCCACTGCAGCAGGCTCGGAATGGCTCACTTCATTATTACTGATAAAACAATTTCTCAGTTAAAATAACAATGAATTAAATCTAAAAAAAATTTGTCCTGTGCCTTTAATAAAGACTGAATGGAATTTACCCAGGACGTGTTATTTACCTCCATGTCATGAAATGATTCAGCCGCCCATTACTACACAGCAAACCTCAGGTAAAGGGCCAGGGCATTTTTCTCCAGGACAGTTGGCAACCACAGGTTTGACTAATGGAATCTGCACTGACATTTAGCTAGCAGAGACTTTGGCGGTGACCGCATAGGAATGGGATGTGGGGATTTTGTTGTCATAAGGGGGCAGGTCCAAGCCAAATGTGGACTAAAAAAAATATACCTTAAAATTGTGGGTTGTTTTTTTTTTTTTTTGTTTAAAGGGGCCCAGATTTTATACAGTCAAGGGATGACTCCAGTAGCCCTCCTTTTTTCATTAATTTAAGCTTCCTATCATTCATTTGCTCTTACAGCACATTCATTATTTCTAAGAGACCTTTTGTTATTTACTAGTTTTTTAAAGAAAACATTCTGTAAAGGATGGGTTCAAAATGTACGCCCGTCTTTGCCTCAGGCCTAGCATTTGTTTGGCAGCAGGCATCGGAAAGCGGGGTGGAGGGGAGAGAGGAACCAAACCAGGAAGTCTCTCTTTTTTTTCTTTCATGGCAAGGTTAAGAAATTATCGGGATCCAGTGATTCTTCAGTAGCTGTAGAGGATTCATTACTTGGGTTTCACAGGAGCAGACACAAAAGACACTGGATCCGTTTGGACTTCAGCGTCAGACATCCGTTTGGGGTTCTGTTGAAGGAGAGAGAGAGAGAGAGAGATTTAGTGCTTAAGTATGATTATTCTGGAGTCTTGCATGGGCATTAAAAATAAAACCCCGTAGGCCTCTTTGCACATACGATGAATCGGCTGTAGTCAGAGCTCTGTTTTGCACATAAAAATTGATAGTATGGTAAGTCAAAGTCTGTGTCAAGGAAAGATGAGTTCTGCAATGTTATGCCATCTGGTTTAATTTTATACAATTGAATCTGTTCTTACTAATTATGGAGGGTAGAGGTTGGAACGGAGCTATACCAGCTCTGAAGCTCTATCACCTTGTTCCTCTGGAATCTCATTCAGTTTTCTCCCTGGCTCCTGTTATTTCAACAGGCATTGTTCATTAACCTTCAGGCATAGCTTTGCAGGCATAAGGTCTAGAAACCTATTTTTAATAATAATAATAACAACAACAACAACAACAATAATAATAATAATAATAATAATAATAGTAGTAATAATAATAATACAAAAATGATTCTACAGACATTCTGTATTGTTTATCTGTGTGTGTCTGGAATCACAAGATATATACAGCTCTGGGTCAGTATGCAAAAGCTCCTGACATAATGCATTTCTTGGCCACTGAACACTTTTTTGCTAGTGGATTGCTTTTATCCTTTCTGAACTGACCCTGCAAAAGCCTGTATACCCTAGGTTTGATGTGCACTGCATGTTATCAGGAAGAAGAAGAGATTGGATTTATACCCCGCCCTTCACTACCCAAGGGAGTCTCAGAGCGGCTTACAATCCCTTTCCCTTCCCCTCCCCACAACAGACACCCTGTGAGGTAGGTGGGGCTGAGAGAGCTCTCTCGAGAACTGCCCTTGAGAGAACAGCTCTGAAAGAATTTAAGGCTGACCCAAGGTCAGGCCAGCAGCTGCACATGGAGGAGTGGGGAATCAAACCTGGTTCTCCAAGATTAGAGTCCACACTCTTAACCACAACACCAAACTGGCTCTAGCTACTTTAACTCTAATACATCATTATTTCTGATCCCCCTTACAAAAACAATAAAATTCCACCAGTAGTGTTTCCACCTGTAAGGAATGTTGAACAGAAGATTCTGGTGGTACCCAAGTGGGACCACGAGGAACAGTTTTAATAGCATATAAAAGGTGGTGGGTTGGATCCTACCAGTCTGTTCCAAGGGTGACAGTGTGTTTCTCATGCACGGAGCATATTGCAGACGGAAGAGCCTCCTCTGCCAGTAAAAGGCATCTTGGGGTCAGTACAAACTTCCTTAAGCAGAGGAACACCTCAGTCCTAGTGGATCAGACTGGCAAGATTCAACTAGGGTTGCCAACTCAGGTTGGGAAATTCCTGGAGATTTTGAGGTGGAGTCCAGGAAGAGTGGGGTTTGGGGAGGGGAGGGGAGGGACCTCAGCGGGGTATCATGCCATAGAGTCCACCCTCCAAATCAGCCATTTTCTTCAGGGAACTGATTTCCGTCACCTGGAGATCAATTGTAATTCCAGGAGATCTCCAGGGCCCACCTGGAGTTTTGTAGCCCTAGATCCAACCCATAGTCATTATATTTCCATTTCAACAATGCCTACTACTCAATGATTTACAATCAGAGGACCCTGCCCAATGGCTCACAATCTAAAATGCCAACAGCCATGTTCTTCAGTGACACAGAAAACATGGAAAGTGATAATCGAGCGCTGGATGTTGTGTCAAAGTTGCAGAGCTTTAGACAGAGTCTGGGGTGGGGCTTTGGGGTTTCAAAGATTAGGTCTGAAAACACTTGTGTTTTAAGTGCAGGCCGGTATGAATTAGGCAACACATACTGATTTATGTAGGACTGGTTTGTTTGTCGGGCTTAAATTGTACTGTCTGGCTCCTGTTTGTGTCATATAAGGCATACGCAGTGGATTTTAATGGAGTTGGGCTCACTTGCAGGGTCATTTCGATGCTCTATTCCTAGAAGTATGATTGCTTAATATAGCCCACAGGCAATATAGACTTCCTTCCAGACATCCTGCTAGCAGGAGATAGCATTCTACATAAATGTCACAAGTCTGGAGAACTCATTCTAAATTCCATCAGCATCCAATGCATTAAAAAAAAAAGAAGAAGAAGATTGCCAGCATTTGAAATGGAGTTGATAGAGGTTGGGATCAGACAATACTTTTCCAGAGAGCTGAAAACGGTCTGGCGCAGCTATCGTTGCCAGCGGTATGCATACTCATTTCTGTTATTCCTTTATCCTCTCTGATTAAAATAGGTTCTGCGGATCTTTGAAGCACATCAATGACGGCTTTATCATACCACTTAGGTCTCTATCTGCAAAAAAGAGAACACTGTCTTTCGGCAGACTGAATACTGCAGCTGTCTTTGAGAAACAGAGGAATAGATTTAAATCATTGATAGCCTGAGTTGGGGTGTGTGTGTGGAATTGGCGGCTGCTGTTCAAAGTGCAACCAAGATGAACTTGCAGGTATGAACTCTACTTACACCAAATACAGTCCACTCTAACTTGCTAAATGCATTAATTAACATGATGCGTTGCTGTGGTGTATCCTGTTTTACTACCCAGTTTATAAACTGGCTTGGTAGAGACGTAATGCCACCACATGGTCGGAGCTATGTGAATAAGGCTGGAATAATATGTGGGCTTGCAACTCCGTCTGCCCCATATACACTAGCCTAGACAGACATTCTGGTCACCACACCTCAAAAAGGATATTATAGCTTTGGAAAAAGTGCAGAAAAGGGCAACTAGAATGATAAAAGGCTTGGAACACTTTTCCTATGAAGAAAGGTTAAAATGCTTGGGGCTCTTTAGCTTGGAGAAACGACGGCTGAGGGGTGGCATGATCGAGGTTTATAAGATCATGCATGGGAGAGAGCAGATTGAGAAAGAGGTACTTTTCTGCCATTCTCACAATACAAGAACTCGTGGGCACTCAATGAAATTGCTGATCAGTCGAGTTAGAACAGATAAAAGGAAGTACTTCTTCACCCAAAGAGTGATAAACACACGGAATTCACTGCCACAGGAGGAGTCGGCGGCTACAAGCATGGACAGCTTCAAGAGGGAATTGGATAAGCATATGGAGCAGAAGTCCATCAGTGGCTATTAGCCACAAGGTATAGATAGGAACTCTCAGGCTGGGGCAAGTGATGCTCTGTATTCTTGGGTGCTTGGGGGGGGGGCAACAGTGGGAGGGCTTCTAGTGTCGTGGGAGGGCTTCTAATGTCCTGGCCCCACTGCTGGACCTCCTGATGGCACCTGGTATTTTTGGCCACTGTGTGACAGGGTGATGGACTGGATGGGCCATTGGCCTGATCCAACACTGGCTTCTCTCTTACGTTCTTATGTCTACATAGGCACTCACCATGTGGGGAAGGAGAAAGGGGAGCAGCCTGTTAGCCTTGCCCCTTGCCTCCATGCAGTCACCAAGTGGTCTGAATTGGGCAAAAGCATGGAGGAAGTCCCGGCACATTACCCCCTTCCCATAATCAGCGATGCTAATTTTGGAACATTGCTGGGTGTGCATTTGCCCCATGTGGACCAGTCAGCCATTGCATGGAGGTGAGATGCTCAGGCCCAGTCTCCATCCCTGCAGCCAGTGCCCACATGGAGGGAATGTCTGCCTAGGACTGCTCTGATCCCCTTCTTTCACCCCTTCCTGTGTACAGCAAATCACAGCTTCTTGTGACTTCCTAATTAGCAAAACAAAAACAACAACAACCCAACAACCCACAGTTTGTGCTCGCCCTGCAAAGCAGAACTGCAAATCTCAGTTTGATTGTGTTTTGTAGTTTGGCTTGAGACGGTGAGCCCAGCCTTAGCTTTCTGGTTCAGATGTAAAGTTTCAAACCAGGAAGGGAGAGAGAGAGAATCAAGGGGGAGGAGGAGAGAGGAGATGAGCCAAAGGGTTGTTTTTGGTGCCTGTGGGTGAACCAAACCGTAGCTTGGTGCTACCTCTGAGCCCACCCACTGTCTCACTGATGAACATGAGAACATAAGAAGAGCATTGCTGGACCGGACCAGCGCTCCACCTAGTCCAGCATCCTGTCTCACACAGTTCCTCTGGAAGTCCAACAACAGGGCACAGAGGCACTGAGAACTTCAGCCCCACCAGGAAAAAAAATTGCCCCACAAGCCACAAAATCTAGGCTACGGGCCTCGCAGCGACTCTCCAGGGTCGCAGGTTGAGGTTAGGCTTCCTACCTGATCCTTGAACCCAGGATCTTCTGCACACCAGCCAATACACTAACCTTTTCCCATTTGCAATCAGACCTTAATGACTTGGACCCTAGGCTCTACTACTGTGCTACGGCCCCTTCCCTGACAACGTACTGTGATTCCTTGGCTTGCAAAATGATGAGTGATTCATGTCCATGTGATGCGTGATAAAGTTCAGCTCAGTGCTATCAATGAAGAATAAAGGTGGGGTTTTACTTCCACTTGTGCAAATTGTACCTCTGTTATTGGCTGCTTCTCTCACAGACTTAACCCTTCAAATGCCCTAAAAGGACAATGGAGGCCAGAAATGAGCACCACTTAAGTCCAGTGGCTGTGATGATTTCATGTCAAAGTGCGTGTGCTGAGCACCGTTCATTGCTGGATAAGGACCATCATGGGATGTACAACGTTGTGTAAAGAAGTATTTCCTTTAGTCTGTCATGAAACCTGGCCATTGTAAAGAAGGTAACAGGATTTTTCAGGTACTAGCTTTTTCAAGAATTTGATTGACCATTACAAAAAAAAAGTGTGCTTCCAAAAGGCCTGAACATATTACACCAGGGAGGAAGTCCTCATCCAGCAATGAACAGTGCTCAGCACACGCACTTTGACATGAAATAATCACAGGCATAGAACACCTTTAAAAGGGGATTGGATAGATTCATGGAGGACAGGTCTGCCAGTGGCTACTGGCCATGGTGACCAATGGGAACCTCCACATTCAGACTCTGAATCCCAGTGCCAGGAAGTCACAACAGAGAAGGCCTCGGCGTCCGTGCCCTGCTGTTGGCCCTCCAGGGGAACCATTTGGCCTCTGCGTGAGAAGGGATCCTGGGCCAGATGGACCCAGCAGGGCTCTTCTTATGAGCGGGGCAGTTCTAGCAGGTCTCGGAAGGTCTCAGTCACACGACTCTCTTGTCTCGCTAAGATCCTCTGGATTAGCAACGCTCGCCTCGAGGGAACAAGCAAAAAGCTCCATGGGTCAAACTCAC